ACGGAGGCAAGGGGGCACCCTAGGACACACAAGTTGATCTTCGTGATCGTTCCTTAGCCGTGTGCGGTGCCCCCTTCCACCATATTCCACCTCGGTCATATCGTTGCAGTACTTAGGCGAAGCCCTGCGTCAGTAGAACATCATCATCGTCACCACGCCGTTGTGCTGACGGAACTCATCCCCGAAGCTTTGCTGGATCGGAGTCCGGGGATCGTCATCGAGCTGAACGTGTGCTAAGAACTCGGAGGTGCCGGAGTAACGGTGCTTGGATCGGTCGGATCGGGAAGACGTACGACTACTTCCTCTACGTTGTGTCAACGCTTCCGTTTCGGTCTACGAGGGTACATAGACAACACTCTCCCCTCTTGTTGCTATGCATCACCATGATCTTGCGTGTGCGTAGGAAATTTTTTGAAATTACTACGTTCCCCAACAGTGGCATCCGAGCCTAGGTTTTATATGTTGATGTTATATGCACGAGTAGAACACAAGTGAGTTGTGGGCGATATAAGTCATATTGCTTACCAGCATGTCATACTTTGGTTCGGCGGTATTGTTGGACGAAGCGGCCCGGACCAACATTACGCGTACGCTTACGCGAGACCGGTTCTCCCGACGTGCTTTGCACAGAGGTGACCTGCGGGTGACAGTTTCTCCAACTTTAGTTGAACCGAGTGTGGCTACGCCCGGTCCTTGCGAAGGTTAAAACAGCACCAACTTGACAAACTATCATTGTGGTTTTGATGCGTAGGGTAAGATTGGTTCTTGCTTAAGCCCGTAGCAGCCACGTAAAACTTGCAACAACAAAGTAGAGGACGTCTAACTTGTTTTTGCAGGGCATGTTGTGATGTGATATGGTCAAGACATGATGCTAATTTTTTGTATGAGATGATCATGTTTTGTAACCGAGTTATCGGCAACTGGCAGGAGCCATATGGTTGTCGCTTTATTGTATGCAATGCAATCGCGCTGTAATGCTTTACTTTATCACTAAGTGGTAGCGATAGTCGTACAAGCATAAGATTGGCGAGACGACAACGATGCTACGATGGAGATCAAGGTGTCGCGCCGGTGACGATGGTGATCACGACGGTGCTTCGAAGATGGAGATCACAAGCACAAGATGATGATGGCCATATCATATCACTTATATTGATTGCATGTGATTTTTATCTTTTATGCATCTTATCTTGCTTTGATTGACGGTAGCATTATAAGATGATCTCTCACTAATTATCAAGAAGTGTTCTCCCTGAGTATGCACCGTTGCGAAAGTTCTTCGTGATGAGACACCACGTGATGATCGGGTGTGATAGGCTCTACGTTCAAATACAACGGGTGCAAAACAGTTGCACACGCGGAATACTCAGGTTATACTTGACGAGCCAAGCATATACAGATATGGCCTCGGAACACGAAGACCGAAAGGTCGAGCATGAATCATATAGTAGATATGATCAACATAATGATGTTCACCAATGAAACTACTCCATCTCACGTGATGATCGGACATGGTTTAGTTGATTTGGATCACGTGATCACTTAGAGGATTAGAGGGATGTCTATCTAAGTGAGAGTTCTTAAGTAATATGATTAATTGAACTTTAATTTATCATGAACTTAGTCATGGTAGTATTAGCATATCTATGTTGTAGATCAATAGCTCGCGTTGTTGCTTTCATATGTTTATTTTGATATGTTCCTAGAGAAAATTGTGTTGAAAGATGTTAGTAGCAATGATGCGGATTGGATCCGTGATCTGAGGTTTATCCTCATTGCTGCACAGAAGAATTATGTCCTTGATGCACCGCTAGGTGACAGACCTATTGCAGGAGCAGATACAGACGTTATGAACGTTTGGCTAGCTCAATATGATGACTACTTGATAGTTTAGTGCACCATGCTTAACGGCTTAGAATCGGGACTTCAAAGACGTTTTGAACGTCATGGATCATATGAGATGTTCCAGGAGTTGAAGTTAATATTTCAAGCAAATACCCGAGTTGAGAGATATGAAGTCTCCAACAAGTTCTATGGCTAGAAGATGGAGGAGAATCGCTCAACTAGTGAGCATGTGCTCAGATTGTCTGAGTACTACAATCGCTTGAATCAAGTGGGAGTTAATCTTCCAGATAAAATAGTGATTGACAGAATTCTCTAGTCACCATCACCAAGTTAGTAGAACTTCGTGATGAACTATAATATGCAAGGGATGAAAGTAATTCCCAAGCTCTTCGTGATGCTGAAATCGACGAAGGTAGAAATCAAGAAAAACATCAAGTGTTGATGGTTAACAAGACCACTAGTTTCAAGAAAAGGGCAAAGGGAAGAAGGGGAACTTCAAGAAGAACGGCAAGCAAGTTGCTGCTCAAGTGAAGAAGCCCAAGTCTGGTCCTAAGCCTAAGACTAAGTGCTTCTACTGCAAAGGGACTGGTCACAATGCTCAAGTGAAGAAGCCCAAGTCTGGTTCTAATACGCACCGATCAACCCATGGCCGGTGTGGCTGCGCACGCGCAGCTGCTGCCCGTGCCCGACGACATCCTCGCGTGCGTCCTCGGCCGTCTCGAGCCACGCAGCCTCGCCGCGTCCCGCTGCGTCTGCAAAGGCTGGCGCGACGTCATCGACGGCCGCCGCCTGCTGCGGACGACGGACCTCCTCCCGCTCTCGCTCTACGGGATCTTCTTCATGGAGATAGATGTCCTCTGCGCGGACCCCCCAAAGCTCTTCGCAGACCCGCTGACGAGCCCTAGAATCGACGCAAACCTTGACTACGTGGAGGAGGATGATTTACGCATTACGAATCACTGCAACGGGCTTCTCCTGTTGTCGGGCCACGACCACCTGGTGCTCAACCCGGCCACACGGCAATGGGTGCGCCTGCCTCCGCCCCCGCCGCGGTGCACCGAGAGTGGGATGGAGGGCTTCTACGACGACGTCTGCCTTGCCTTTGACCCCACCGTGTCCCCCGACTATGAGGTATATATGGTTCCTAGCGTCCCCTGCAATCTTGATCCCACGGCGACAATATTTGCAATCCTATACTTTTTCTATTCCTACATTTCCAAAATCCTGTGAATCAAAGAGGCCCTTACGGAGGAATCAGAGTGGCCGCCCTCGTCATGTGCAATACGAGTTTTCTCTTCAAGGACATGGAGATGGGAGGAGAGGTCGTTCCTCCGCAGAGGAGAGGCTGCAGGCACCATCGCCGACATGCAGCAATATACAATGTTCCAACGCTGTTACACCGTCTACTGGAAAGGAGCGCTTTATGTGCACTGTCAAAATGACTCCATCATGCGGTATGTATATGCATTTACTCACCGGGGCCTCTCTCAATTTAATTAGCTGGGTGCGGCCTCTCTTTTTTCTTTATTGTAGATTTGGACTCATTTAGGGTCTGATGAAACTCATTGCTTAATACAGTAAATTGTAATACCTTCATTCCAAAAAATATATAATTGCAGTTGTTGCCGGTTTGTCCTAAATCAAACTTGCTTAAGTTTGACCAACCAAAATACATAATTCAACAAGTTCAAATACTCGTTTTGTTAATATATATGTTCTTATTAACATGCATATATTTTATACTCACCCGTTGGCATCTCAACTTAATTTGCAGCATAACCTTATCGGATGGTGCGTATCAAGTGATTAAATCGCCAACGGGCGGCAAAATGGATGGTTCTACACATCTTTATCTTGGAAAATCAAGCAATGGGGTGTACTGTGCTTTGATTTATCATAATGTTCAGCACCAGTTTCAGGTTTGGTTTCTAGATGAATCTTGTGGTAGAATGGAGTGGGAGTTGAAGAATGATATCAACTTTGCGCCGGTGATGGCAAAATTTTCTTTGGTCGAGTATAAGGATGGACTTCCCAACAAAAATAAGTACAAGGATCGAAACCTAAGACCTTGGATCTTTCTGAGAGGTAATTGTCTTGATGAAGATGTTAAGGAAGGACTAATGGAAGATAATGTTGAATGGGACTACAGCAAGGGTTTTATCCTTGAGACTCGAGATATTAAGGTTAATTGTGACCCAATGCATTTTAGAGAGGTCTATTTCCTTGGATTTCATCCATATAAGGAGATTGTCTTCTTGTGGATGTCACGAGACACAGCAGTTGCTTATGATTTTAGTAGCTCTAAATTACAATACTTGGGCAAGTTACCCGCGCATTGGATCGGATATTCTTTTCCGTACACACCATGTTGGATAGGAGAGTTATCTGAAAAATAATAATTGTGACTTGTGAGGATAATATTCAGGGTGCATTTTTATTTGACTTGTATAAATTTTGTTCAGGGATATGAATTCTTATAGAAGGCGATTTTAACAACCGGCTCCCATCCTATTTTTATTTCCTCTGCATGTGTACTTTTCTTTTGTGTATGAAAGGTGCATTAGAATGCTAAATGAATTTACCATGCATATGCAAACCATAAGTGATGGATGTGCTATGCTTGCACTTGTTGTGTCCAAAGGAACAATGAGTTATGAAAGGTCCGACTGATGTGTTGTTTGTATCGACGGAATATTTGTTTACATACTAATCTCTAAGTCGCGACAAAAGGCCCCAGCCCCCGGGACACTCCCTCCTCATCAACATCACCAGTGCCTCCGTCGGGCAAAAGCTCGTGATCGTGAGGGTGGTGTCGGTGTTAGTTCAAGAATTACTCCATGGTGTAGTTTGGTTGTGTTGTCCTTCTCCTATGATTGCGTGGTTTGCCCTTGATGAATATGCGCGGAGTCGCGGCTCAATCTTGTAGGTTTGTAGCAGTTAGGCCCCCTCACTAGGTTGCAAAGGTGCAGAGGTATGAGGCTCTAGGCAAAAGCTTTGGATTTAATGGGAGTCATTGTCGGTGATGAGAGCACTCTTGTGCGTCTTCTCCCTCCTTGAAGTCATTACCAAAAAGTACTTCCCTCATTACTGGACCGTGTTCGCTCTAAGTGGGAGCAACAACGGTGGCTGTTGGCAGGGCCGGTTTTTCCCGAGGTTCGGTGGGGTGGTCATGTGCTGGTTGGGCAAAAGATTTCTGGTAGACGGTGGTCGATGATAGTGTACTTGGGCATCGTTTTCCTTCTTGGAGGCGTTTTCGAAGGGAGGTGTGTTAGGTAGGTTATGTGTTTTTGTTTTTGTTTTATATATAAACCAAGCCACTAAGTATTTTTTTTGCTTGTACCTATTTCCATTAACTTTCAAAAAATAACTTCCATAAAAGAAAGTAGAATTGGGCCCTCAACTACATCGGTCACCTCTAGGATTGGCCACATGCTCACTCTTTTAACACTTGTAGCTCAAAATGAACTCGACATCACCAGTGACCATCTACCATCTTTCTATTATATTTCTTACAGGTCACCTTTGTCATTGGATTCATAGCTTAGGAACTTTTCCATTAGGGCGAGCCAATGTTTTCTTTTTCCTTTGAAATATGTAGGATAGGGACCAACCCTAACCAAGGATTCAATTCTATAGGAATCATATCCTATAGCAAATTCCTGTAAACCAAAGACGACTTAACATGACACTACGAGGGTGTTTCTTCAGTAACTATTACAACACAAGATCAACAGCAAAAATTCATGCCTTCATCCACAGCAAAAACGGCGAAAATGGCATGAGCAATGAGACAAGGACTTTTGTTCTCATGATACTGTTACAGAATTTGTGAGAAGGCCTCTATTTAACTTACAAGGCCAAAATATAATGCCGGCTACATCTGGAATTCTTTACCGATACACCTGACTACAACAATACATATTTTCCTCCGCTGTCTTCACCACCCTACTATGTACAAGGGGGAGTTTTTTTCCCAGAACTACCCCAAAGACTATGCACCTCACAGCAGGTAGAAGTAGAACTGTACATCGCCGGCGGAATAGTTGCTTCTTGTGTTCACCCGGTGAAGGGGTTCGCGACAATCCGCAAGTCATTGTGCTGCCTGTTGAATAGATACTATGGCCTGCCTGCATTGCTTCGCTACTCATGGAAGTCCTCATAAGACGACTCTGACGAATCGCTCTGGTACGGTGTTGTTTCACGCGGGCTAGACGGGAGAGAATCTTGCATTGCTGGTCCTACAACAAAACCAAAAAAAATGTCAGTCCTACATGTGACGAGGATACTTTCCAGGGCAGTGGCACTAACACTTTCGATCCGCAGTGCATAGTTTCGGCGTGTAAGGGATACCTATGATCTTTTGCCCTCTTGGGCGGAACTTTCTTCGGAGGAGCTTCTTAGCTTTTGTAATTGTGAGCTGTCTGGCAAAAGGATACTCACCATCACTCTCACTCCCCTCGTCATGGTATTCATTATCCCCATCGCCTCGCATTGCCCGCACCACAAATGCCTTTGCTCTACGGCGCTGTGAATTGAATAGCCCTCTAATCGATGTGACAAACCCATCACCTGCACCGTCACCTGGCCTCTTCAACCATGATACTGGGAACTGATCAGGTTTTCCATGATGACTGCCATCGCTGTCGCTGAAATTAAGATCATTTTCTGGAACAGTACCATCAAGTGTTTCCCTCTGGTTCTGGGCCTTAAACTTTTTCCCCTGTTCAAGACCAAAGAGTCAGTAATTTTCTAAGTAATAAAGAGTACAGTATAAGGTTGTCCAAAACTTGTGGACACTTGCCACATCAAAGGGGGGTCAAATAGCAAAAAAGAGGCCATGCCATCTCTGATTATGTTCGTTTCCATAACAAGGAATGAATAGTCATCATACCTGCATCCCAGTCACTGACTTTAAAACACCCCAAATGATATGCTTTTTTACTCTTGAGAACAATCTCCTCCATGTACCAGTAAATTCTACACGGTGGAAAGTATCCATAAGCAGCCTTAGGTCATTTATTGCAAGCCTCGATCCCTCGTAAGTAACAAGAAGTTCAACCTACAGTGTCAGCAAGTTTTACACTTACATTAGACTGAAATATTAGATATAGATGTCTCCAGATCCAATGATATAGAGATATATTAACCTGGCTAATCTTGATATTATGAAATTCCATCAATTTCCGAGCTCTTGGCCGCTTCTCATCATTGGATTTTCCTGTTTTCTTTTCCTCGTGAGATAAACGACCAGACTTGATCGATTTGGGATCTTTAGTCTTACTCCTGAACATCTCAGTAGCAGCAACAGTGTTCTCTGCCATAGAATAGCCGTCGCTTTTTGAAGTAATGTTCGAAGAATTCAATAGTGATACCACATCATTATTTGTGGCATTTTCTGTTGCACTTTCTTCCCAGGCCTTTCCAAATGAAGATGTCCGTCCCAACTCCGGATGTGAACCGCATACCATATTGGCCTTTAGACTCTGCAACTTGGATACCTGCATGCAGTTGACCTATTCTGTGAGAGAGACCAATAATAGAAGAAAATTCCATCTGACAGGAGACGACACGAGTAGCTTTAGCACTTCTTTTTAATTGAAGGCGTGCTTAAATACTATAGTGAGCTTCATAGCTCTATCAGGCTGGTTGGGCCCAGCTCTGTACAAGTGGTTAGACCAGAATGACACTATAACTCAGAGGCACCAAACTTGGACCAATTCTACATATTAGTGTCATTGAAATATCCTAGGTTGCTCTTATGTGACTCACCTGCGGATTGTCTCCATGTGAACCTTGCCAACTTGAGACGTTTACTGAAGTACCTGATCTCCCAGGAAGCTCATGCTCCCTGATAGAATAGCTGGTAGAAGCAACAGCATCAGCACCAGAAGATACTCTTCTAGTTCTTCTAGATCCAGTTGATGTTGAGACCCTCCAAATATCCTTTTACACCCAATCAAAATATCAGAAATGAAAATTATATCAACAGAAAACTAAGCAAACAAGGTGTAGAAATAATAAGGGCTCCTTTGATTCAAAGGAATTCTTTAGGATTTTTGAAGGATTGAAATCCTTATGAATTTTTCCTATGTCGGCCCTTTGATTCATAGGATTGGATCCCATAGGAATTTATCCTATGGAATCTTTTGCACTATATTTCATAGGAAATCTAACATCCACTCCAACCTCTTTTTACAATTCCTTTGTTTTTCATGTGGCATCAAACACTCTTTGCTAATCCTATAGGATTCAAGTTGACATGCCACTGCAATCCTATACTTTTCCTATTCCTACATTTCCAAAATCCTGTGAATCAAAGAGGCCCTAAACATGGGAGATGTGACGAAGCATGATTTACGGCTTACCTGACGTCTTTGAGAATCGTCTTCCTCAGGAAAGAAATAATCCCACATCATTCTATACATTGTTTCAGGGAGGTATATTTTCAATGGGTATATCTCCACCTGCAAAGCTCGATCGTGAATACAGAAACATAACTAATGGAGTAGCAGTATAAATCATATATACAGTGCACCAAATGTTTCAGTGGAGTCTAGTCATGAAATGCTTAGAGCAGCTTGTAAATGTGTAATGACAGCAATGCGGCAATCGGATAAAAATATTACTACCACCATCCTTTTTTTTCCATCACTTTGATCTCATGATTCCACATTATAAGGTATGTATGCATCACTAATTACACAACCACGATCTTACATCTTCCAAAAGTATTTCAGGGGAAAACAGAAATATAGGAAACAGAATGTATTAAAGGAGCATATTTTTATGTGGCCAATCTCAAGTACTGTGTATTGGTACAAAAGTATGAAAGTTCTGGCAGCAGAGGTTTTAAAACAACATATGTTCTGCATGGAGTAAAAACACTCCAGTACTACATGAATCTTGTCAAGCAAACAAGCAGGTAAAAATATTAGAAGTATAAAACAATACATATGGTTACAGGTAATTGGATGTTTACATGGACAGCTTAGTTCGAACAAAATTAAATACTCGTTGCATGGCCAAAACAGGCAGATAAATACCACTGAAAACATGCATAAAGTAGGAATGTATAAACTACCATAAACGATCTGGACAGAAAAAGCTAGTATTGTAGTGGATGACGAATGCGAAGAGAATTCCAAAGTATCTACGGGGAGAAACTGAATTCAGATAGACAATTTGGACAATAGTATTTGCTTTTCATGTCATTCTAACGGGTTTCCCTTTCATGGATTTCCTTTTTCTGCTCAATAACTGATTCTAGACATCTCTACAGATCAACTAAATTTGTTTTGTTATGCTAATCCATGTGACTTATGATATGGTGCCATTAAGCTACATCTTGGATTTTAGAACCTTCAGCACAGTAATTGCTCATTTTAGCTCGGCGCAA